TCTTTCAGCATGCTGGCAGAGCCAGAGGAATCCACGTAGGCCTCTTGAAAATGTGTGCTTGAGTTGCCGTGAAGAGCACGCCGGTCCTTTTTTAAGAGCAACTGCTCTGTTGGTGCTTTCCCTCTTCAGTGTTTCTTGTGGTTGCCACTTTATATGGTGTTTTTCTTTCATGTGTGAGCGAGAATTTCTGAGTTTGTAATTCGGTGAAACAATTCTGATGGTTTGTCAGATGAAATTTGCAAATTATTATTATTTTAAATCTTTTGCTTTTTTGTCTACTCTCCTCTTGCAAACTTAGCAGGTTGTATCTGTGGAAGATCATTGGGGAATGCTGGCAGTCTCCTGTATACATTTTCACCAGACAAAATAAACTTTTTATGGAGCAAGTGCTTTTAACTTTCCAGTTGAGGGAAGGCTAACACTGTGATTTGTTTAAAAAACAAAAGAAACAAAATGAGAAGTTGATTAACCTTCATGTCAGCTGATTAGGATAAAATCCAGACATAGCACTGTTATCTCTGAAGAAAACTATAACATGTATTACTGGTTGCAAACAACTCTCATTAACTTTCTTTAAGGGTGATGCATTTGATTAATTTATTTGGTTAGATATGCCATTGCTAACTGGGTTAGCATTTGGCTTTCTATGAAGTATACATAGGGAAATATGCTAAAAAGGTCATTTTGTATATCAAACTTAAAAAATTGTTCCAGTCTTGTGTGTATCTCTTAAAATCAGAAAATTGTGTTTTCACAGTTGTACACATGCAACTGCAAGGCAAGGAGGGTTTTTTCACCTTACTGAAGAAACGTGTCTGATAAGTGGTATAGAGCAGGAGCGGTCATGTAAAAGCAGGAATTAGGTTTCAGACCTGGACAGAGCTTCCCTAGGGACTCAGCCTAAAAGCAACCGTTTAGCTTCGTTTGCAGTTTTAGCCATATGTATATATATTGGAGCTCAGCTGCAGGTAAAAGGTTTTGCTAGTTTTATGTCTGTTTTATTCTTCGTACTGTAAAAGCAATAACAAAACTCCTATAAATTCATTTTTTTCCAATAACACTGAATTTTGCTTTATGTTTTAAAACTTGGGTCAAAGTTAAATGCTTTAAAATATTAATTATATAAGTGCTTATTTAAATTTTCAAATCTTAACTTGACATGTTGCATAAACAGCATCATTTTAACCATTTTTGTACATAAGTATAAATTTTGGAGCATTTTACAAATATATCTCTCTCCCTTCAAATAGTCATGGTTTTTAATCTCTGCTACTTAAAAGCATGAGTTCACTGCCTAAATCATGTGCCTGAAACTCATGGATTTCTTCAGCTCCTGGCTGGCATTTCTGTGCCTTCTCAGAATAGAAGGAGATTACAACTAAGAAGAATAGGGATCCTATAGGTTAGTATTACTTTTTGGATTGTAAAAGGCACGACTGCAGTACAGTTTCTTACACCTCTCTGCTAATGCTAATATCTTCAATTATGCGAAAAAGAAAAAAGTTGCGTCTCAATAATAGGACTGATAACTGAGTAAAGAACTAAAATTTTAAAATGGAGGCTCCCTAAGCAATGGAATGATAAACTGAGCACACTGTTCCAGTACCTTAAGTGTGAAGGAGAGAGGAGTTGCTCTGAGTGTTGATTTTTGTTCCCCTTCCACCCAGGTCCTTTCAGAGATGCCCAGCAGACTTGTTGCTTTGATGGGTCATTAAACTTTACTTAGACATGAGGCACTTTAATGATACATTAATGCGTGTCTTGATGATTCTAAAGAAAATAGACCTTATCCGTGACTAAACTAACATGAAGGCTTTTCCTTCATTAAAAGATATTAGGACCACCTTTTGTAAAGCTGTTGGATAACCTACTGATGGATTGACATTGGTTTGCCACTGCCAGAAGGTATTTACAGGTTATTCATTTTTACACACACATGCAAAAATATATCATGTTTGCTCCAGAACAGTACAGTGCGTGGGATTATGATTAGAGATCCATCTAGGCTGGTTTCTGGGAGATAATCCTGACATTCCTCTTTGGTCCAAGGAAAGCTGCAACCTTCCCATTGCGCAAGTTTGCTGCTGGGTTTAGACTCTGTGAGTCTTTTGACTCTTCAATACTGTGCATGTATTTTCCTTAAAAAGAAAAAGTGAGGAACGGAAAATGCTGCTCAGCCCAGGAGTGCTTTGTCTGGCTCTGCATCTGGGAGATGGTCCCTTAGTGAGGGGCAGTAGCTCCGTTCTTCCCCAGG